AGAATTTCTATTCTGAGGTGCATTTATTATTACCCTGGCTTTAGCCTAGCTGTCATTACAGCGCTCTAGCATTTCAAGGAATTAATTCCTGCCAGGTATCCATTTACCTCACCTGGGTCGAGTGTGGCAAATGAAGATTAATGCCTTGCCAAAGGACATTAGTGCCGTATCAGGGATCGAACCACGACCTTTGAATTTCAAGTCAAGTGCTCAAACCACTCGACTACGTCACTTCTACAATGTTGAAGTCACTTCTACAATGTTGAAGTCGCTTAGTTGGTAGTCGTGTGACTCGTGTGAAGTCAGTCAAGTCACCATGACTTGCAGCTGATTTTGTGGCTTACGTCTTAATACAATTCATATAAACATTCAGGACAATTAAAGAAAACATCACCCAAGAAATATCTTGAGTTATTCTGAGAAGTATATTTCATTCTCGTCAATTAATCTACAAGACTTCCCACCATTTTGCTGATAATGTGGCGTACATATATCATTGCAAGTGTGTATATAGAAGATATGAATAGGAGACATAGGAGACTGTAAACTTGCGATTGATTGGAGGATCTGAATCAATCACAACTCTTACAAGACGGGGGCCTGGTCTTATTTAAAAGAAAGTGTATTGAAAATCATGGCATCTTTGTTAATTTTTTAACAAAGTGTACAAAGAACAAACTTGCGATTGGTTGGAGTATCCGAATCAATCGCAACTCTTACAAGACGGGGGTCCTGGCCTTATATAAAGGGAAGTGTGTTGAAAATCATGGCATCTTTGTTAATTTTTTTCCTTCTCATTTAGGATGCCTTTATTGGATTTGGAGGGAATCAGATCCGCTCCAAGGTACAGGAAGGAGCGCAGTGGTTTGTGACCGACTTCCAGGAACTCATCACCGTATTGGACGCATGACATTAGTAAACATAATTAGCATGTTCAGACCAGAGGGAATTGATACGAAACTCGTTTAAATAAACGTTGTATAAAGAATATATTTTATGAAAGTATGCTCAATCATGAATATTGCTATAAGTTTCTTCATATGACGTTTCTTTTTACGACATTCAGACTACACAAAAATAATGTTTTCATTGTATGAACTCTGGCAATGTGAACTAGGAGGGAGGGGGTGGGGGGGGGGGGGGTGATAGAAACACCTTGTACAAATATGCATGAACTGCTGCAAAATTAAAACCTACCAACCGTTTTGTAAGATACCGTACACATGGGTCTGTTACCACTCACAATTTGAGACTAGAAACTTTTTTGAAATTTCATCGTCCCGACATATTGAGGTAAAATAAGTAAACTACAACACACTGAATGTTTGCTGCTTGCAAAAGTTTCTTGTCGCGTAAATAATTCACTTTTAGGTTGTGAAACTTTTTGGTTTTGTATTACTCTAACAATTAAACTCGCTCTCACATTCAGGCTTCAGTCATGAAAAGTGACTAAGAAACAAAGACTAAAATGACTAATACAAATTCATTTGTACTTTATTTTTTTGTTGAAAAATTACACTTTTCATATACAAGTACGTGTAATTATGCCATACAACTTATAAATTCATGTAATTCTCAGTCAGTTTGCAAAAAAAGTATAATACACACCATGTAATATCAATTCAAAATAGGCAGTTTTAGTACCAGTAGATACGGTAGATACTACTTCATAGTTTTATATGGTCAACTTGTGCAAAGTGGAAAAAGTTTTTTTTTGGAAGAATTTTACTGAAAAAGTTGGACACTTTCAATTTATACAGAATCCAATATGTATACATAAATAAAATAAAAAGCTTTTAAAAAAAGGATTCTGAGAGAAAATGTGTAATTGCTCAGAAATAAGTGCATACAAAGACATTCCATGACAATATTGGGTTAATATCCAGGCAATGTACGTTGTCTACTCGTTTTAACAATTAAAGACAATTCCACAATGTCTTGAGCAGAGCCTGATTTTGTCAGTTTCTGGTTGTGTCATTAAAAAAAAAAAGGCCATTTGACTACAGTCTCTGACTCTATGTATAGTCTCATAGCTCAGACCCTCTGTTAAGAATTTTTAAGGTTTTTTTTAAAACCGTTTTTTAGAAGGAAAAAAATATTAAAGCATTCAAAACTGAGAAATATCCCAAAGAGAGAGAGAGAAAGAAAGAAAAAAAAGATTTCCAACCAACCGACCCATGTTTTGTCACCTAAAGGGCAATACAACATCTTTTTTTTTAGGTCTTATGAATGACAAGGGTTTCATCATCGTCACTTAGCAACCGTTTATCTCACACTGTGGGGTTGGACCTTTTCATTTCCCTTTCAGGGTTTGCAAGGTCTACCATGGGGCTTGAGCCTGCAACCTGGGACCCGTTTCACAAAGCCTTTTTTCAATGACAAATCTGCTTATAAGCATTTCAGTAGCTTACAACAAAAACTGTCATTTGTAACTGATGACAATTTTTGTGAAACGGGGCCCAGAAAGTTCATTGCTCTTTGATGCCAATGGCCTTTTTATTTGTTTGTCTAATTGCAGAGAATTTTGTCAAATTTGCATTAAATTCTCAGGGTGTGCAGCTTACAGCAAATACTTGATCTTTTGTTGACATTTAACTGGCTTTAAATTAGGCCCTGTTTCATATTTTCTATAATCGATATCAAGTTGCAATAACTGTTATAAGCAATCAAATCAAATCAAATTTGTCATAGAAATGTGGCATTTGCTATTGATAACATGTTTAATGAAACGGTCCTTGGACCATGACATACAATTATTAAATGACGATTCAAATGATTTCAAACTATCTTCTCCTTCATTTTCTTTTTTTATTATGTCATGAAAGTAGAGCATTAACTTTCAAGTTGAGAGAGTCCATAACTTTCACATGAAAGAAAATACAGAATATTTTTATTTTGGCTAATTTGTAATGTGGCTAAATGTACAAATCTCTTGTGTATTCACTCCTCTTTTCTTCATTAGTTCATAGGATGTATTTAATCACGAAAATAGAAAATAAACAAATACAAAATGAAAAACACACACCTTAGTCTAATCAACTCTCATCAAGGCACGTAAAGTTGGTTCGGTGATATGTGAGAAAACATTGGTATGAAAGAACAAACAAAAAAACTAATCAACTCTTTCCTTGGTTCAAAGATGCCAAGTTCTGGGCAGAGTTAGTACATGTCCAATGATTTATGGAGTGACGAATGTCAACCTCATTTCATAAATGTCATAATTCTGTTAAAAATGAACAACAGAAATCCTGTCACAATGAAATCAATATATCTGTTTCATTTTATTTTTTATTTAGTTCAATCATTTTCTTACAGTATTGCAGTTATTAATGAAATATACAGCAATGACAGTGACGCTTGGTAAAACATAAGATTAAAATTTACCTAGGTGTATGTACTACATACAGAGCTATTTGCTGATGGGGGAAAACTTTTTTTTTTTTGAACCACTTTTTAAAAAGGCTCTTAATCTTAATTTTACACACTTTATTTGTTGCTCATGTATAATTAGTGATAACTCGCACTGGCTAATACTTAATAATGAGCATACAAATTCATATACCTGTATAGATGTATAAGAAAAACTAGATTGATCTTCGACTGCACACAGTCGGAAAAAGATGCCTCCGCCATAAAGCGATCTAACTAAAACAGAAGCAATTTTTAAAATTCAAGTTTGATTGTAATCCATTGACAGGTTCTCAGAATATCGTGATTACATGCTATTTTTCATATACATGTATGACCCTTTGAACTTTGACCTCATGACCCCAAAATCTCATCAGTTCATTGGCTCTGTAAGATACATACATGACCCAAGTTTGGCGGGAATCCATCAATTGGTTCTTGAGAAAACGCGATTACGAGAACGGGACGTACGGACAACCCAAAAACATCGCCTCCAGCTACTTTGTGGTGGAGGCATAAAAATACATATATATACATTTAAACAAAAACAGAATTACAAGTCAAATCATTTCAAGCCTGTGTACTGGACATGTACATGTAACTAGAACTAATTTTCGACTAAAATTACAACCTGACCTGCATTTAAACCTCTTAACAATCGATACATTGCACAACATTGATTTCAGATAATGGAAGATTATGAAGGATCATTTAGAAGATCAATCCAAAAGCTCCATTAGCCCCCCCCCCCCCACCCCCCACCCCCCCCAAAAAAAATGTTAACACATTTTACTTTTATTGTATCATAGCGGCTTGTCCTAAAAAAAAATCCCAACAACACAAGAAGAATTGTTGAGGAAGTTTCATTGACAGAAATCATTGAGGTTTGACGTACAAAACAATCTCTTCATATAAAACAAGTAGATATAAAATTGCAGTAACAAAATATATAAATCGCCTTCTCTTGTCCATCTTCTTTTCCTTTAATATCATTATGTATATAGGAATAATCTACGACAGTCTGAGTCATATAGGTATGTTTTTTTCCATTAAAATCAGTATTAATGTGGTTTCTCTCCTACTCATTATAATTTGAACGACAAAATATTTCAGGACAACGTTTAACAGCAACGTATAACAAAATCAGTCTCTGTTCAAATCTCCATGTACATGTGCATCTAGGCCTACAGTGTATGTACTTCAATTTGTTGCCCTCTTTCTATCTTGGATTGTCTTTCTCTTCCTCTCACTCTTACTCTTTCTCTCTAATATTCTTTTAAATTGTTTTCTTTCTTCCTGGCATCTTTTATATACACATGTATTTCATTCTTCTTCTCTTTCATGCTTCCTCTCTTTCCCTCTCTCTCTCCTTTCTATTTTTCTACATATCTCTCTTATTCTTTAACCCCACTCCCTCTTACTCCCCCTTTCTTTCTCTCTCTTCCTCTCTCTCTCTCTCCCCCTCTCTCTCTCCCCTCTCTCTCTCTCTCCCTCCCCCTCTCTCTCTCCCTCCCCCTCTCTCTCTCCCTCCCCCCTCTCTCTCTCCCCCTCTCTCTCTCTCTCTCTCTTTCTCTCTCTTACCACTTCTCAACCTCACCTATCTCCCTCTTTCTCTCTCTCTTCCTTTCCACCCCTCTCTTTTTCTCTCTCTCTTTTCATTTCTATTCTAATCGTACCACTGCACGTTAATGGGTTTAAAGTTAAACAGGTCTGGATGTCCCAGGTGAAGGGTTTGGTTGAAGTCAGACTTGCTCCACTGGAAAGGAGGTTGCTGATCGGTCGTGGGTCCGCACACGGCGACCATTGACAGGCTCTTCACCATAGAACTTGTAGTTACCTGAATAAAAAAAAATACACACAAAAAACTGTTAAAGGTAATGCAAAGTTTTGGGAAATTTTGAAAATTGGGTGGATAGTGAATCTTTACAATTTTGATATATTTGGATGCCCCTGTGGATGTATTATAAGCACTAAAAAAATTAGCCCCTAAAACACTTCTGTTTTCTAGAAAAATGGAATATAAAAATTTACCGGTGCTCCCGGTAAATTTTGATAAATTTCAAATAGCGCCTATGGCCGTACAATGGTACCTGCGACCATAAAGTCTCAGAATATGTAGTTGTGATATATCATTTCCAAACGGGAATAGCTAATCGGTCGATTTTAGTCAAGAAACATCGTTTCATAGCTAAATTAATATCTTGACCTTGAGAGGGAGCTATACAACATAAAGAGTTTATTACTTATAATTTCATAACTTTAGACATGATTTTAACCGCGACAACGATCAATGAATATTGTAGGAACACGTATGTTTCCAATATGTTAATTTGACCCAAATTCATGACCCCATACCAAAACTTTGTAATACCTTTAAGTATGTTCCTTGGTTCCGGAGCAATTTCATGTACCATGATGACTAATATTACTATCGTTGTTTTTGTTAATGTTGTTATCATCATAGTCATCATTGCTGTGGCCGTTGTTACTTGTTCTTACTATTATCAATTTCTTCCTCCTCTTCTTCTTCTTTATCTCCTCATTCTTTTTTTCTTCTCCTTCTTTTTCTTCTCCTTTTTCTTCTTCTTCTCTTCCTCTTTACTTTCCTTATTTTTCCTTCTCTTTCTCTTCCTTTTCTCACCTTTTTTCCCTTCTCTTTCTCCTTGTAATTATCAATAACATTTAAAAATTATCCTTAGTATTAATATCAGTCACCTATTGGCTCCATTCTGGTCATAGCGACTTCTAAAACTTTAACAAGAATGAATCAGACTTTACAAATGACTTGAATATGAAGAGCTAAAAGGGATTCTCAAATCCTTTAAAATGCATAAGTTAAAGTTGAAACATGCAGATTTAAATTAAACTTATCATTCTTAACAAGACCTTTTACCGTAATGCAAAGTGTACTTTAAGCTATGATTTTATTGAGATTATGGGAATACAGTAACACTTTGTTAAAATGTTAGGAGAAACTTTGGGTATCCCATTTGGCTCTTCATATTTAAATTATTTGTAAAGTCAATCGTAACTTATGCACAGCTTCATGAAACGCCCCCCTGAAAAGTCATCTCCACCAAGGCTTCAACCCACATGCATTACATGATCTCCCAACCTAATGTCCACAGTCACACAAGGTGCTCCAACATCAGCTCCCACAACAATAGACCAGCACATGTCTCAAATGACCCTGAATATCCACAGATCTTTAACACATGAAGAGGTCCCACTTTGTACATTTTGAAATAATCACTCCTACAGCTATGGAGGTGCTACATACATAGCCTTAACTTTGTTTTCCCTTTTCAAAGAATACTTCCACCTGTGTATCATGGAGTGTACTGCTTGTTCATAAATGAATAATGATTAAATAACTTTCATGAGCACGTACATATCCAGTATTTCTTCTCCGTGTATTTCACAATTTGTTTTGCAATGACCTTTATCTGCTCATGCTCGGAACGCAACCGTGGACTGACATATTGTTCCTGGTTTTATTTCATCTAAAGCATAGGGTTGCAATTGGGTTTTAGGTTAGTTTTAGAGTTGGGTTTAGGGTAAGGGTTAGGTATAGTGTCGGGGCCAGGACTGCAGTTCAACTTCAGTAAGTGAAAATGGGAAATTTCCACGGAGAAGCTGTCCCACACAACTACAGAACCTTCAATCCACCCCCATTACCTTCATGTCAGTAGCTCCATGGAGGCGATGTCCTAGGGCTGAGAATGGATAGCGGCCCTTGGCTGGCATCAGATCGGACCGGGAAGCGATAGCGTTCTCCGCGCTGTACGGTGGTTTGCAGTCACACGCGGACAGAGGGTCGTGCTCGTAGTTATTATACCTGTGACAAGGGGCGGATATGAGTTAAGTATATTCAAATCAATTCCATTCAATTCAATGCTCTATTAAAACTACAAAGTAGCATTCCATGGCAGGGACTAATTGCTTAATGTTCACAATGTAAAAATGGTCGTACAATAGGATCATCGGATATATAACGGAGTTTGATGTACATGGTGATTAAAAGAGGCGAGAGGGGCATTTGGGGTCCAAACATTCAAATCATAAAATTTGAAGATGCAGTAGTGATGCTGGCAGCTGTTCTCTGTACTGTATGGGGGGGGGGGGGGTAACAGTCGTGAGCAGAAAGGGGTCATGCTCATAGTTATCATACCTGATTCAAGGGGTGAAAGTATAAAGGAGTTACGCATGGATTAAAAGATGGCAGGAAGAGTAGGCAGGTCACATTATGAACATGAACATGTAGTTAATGGGTATCTTCTTTGCCTCAGATTCTGAACAAAATCCTGGATTTAGCTCATGCTGCAATCATAATTCTAAACCTTTAGGTCATTCAGGAATCCTATGCCTTATAAGTCATTTGCCTGTCTGATTATCAAGATATTTATGATTGGAAATCTAAATTTAAAAAAAAATGCATTCCTAACGGTTTTTATAACACTACTGTCTATTGGGAAAAATGATTACCAGAATGGTGAAACCGGTCACTCAAAGATTTTTTCCTTTTTGGGGGGCACCTCATGATCATTTTAAAGTGCGATTTATTTTTAGTGCTTCAATATTACACCATGTCACAGACACTGATAACATGTAGGGCCATGCATCTCAGATTTAACATTGTTAAACGATGCCTTTAAGAGACCAGAGCTACTGTGTACATGAAGATCAGTTCACCCTATGTCATTTTAATCTCGTATCTGCCATTTGGTATTTAAACAATTGTCAGAACATGGATAAAATCAACTGTCAAGACTTAGATTTAAATTGTTATAAGATGATTTTTAAAATCATAACAATTCTGCTAAACATATCTTCCTTGGGAATAAATTTAAAAAAAAAGGAATAATTAAACTATAGCAATTCTTAGTCTAAAGTTCTCTTAACACATGGTTCACCATACAATTCCTTAGCTGGATATCTATACAAAAGAAGAGGAAACAATTGAAGAAAGGAAGGAGAGGAGAGAAGCTAGAAAAGAGGATGAAAGAAGAGAAATAAAGAGAAAAGAAGAATGAAAAAAAGAGAAAAGAGGAGGTAGAGAGAGAGAGAGAGGAGGAAAGATGAGGGAAGAAGAGGGAAGAGAATAGAATTGAGAATTGAGAAGAAAAGAGAAAAATCGACAGAAGAGGATGGATAAAGAAAAAAGACACGAAAGGAGGAAAGAGAAAAAAGAGAAAAGAGAATTGAAAAGAAGAGAGAATACAGAATGAAAAATTCAAAATGAAGAGAAGAGAAAAAAGGCGAAAGAAGAAACTGTCTTGAAGTGACCACATACCTCATGAGTTTAATCATGGATTCCAGATCGGTCACCTCTGTCTGGTTTCTCCTAAAGATGTTAGCTCTGGCAGTCTTGTTGTAGGAAAACCAATCACCATACCTGCGTTTCTCGGCGGGCCAGCCACTCTTGTCGTAGATATCTACAAAGAACCTGAATAAACCAAGCCGACCGTAAGGCTACATTCACTCATGATATGGTCGGCCACCATTAAAGCGGGACTGCACTACTTGTAGCTACGTGCGCCCTCTATATAGCAAACAATGCCTAAGCGGTACCCATTGGTCCCCCATGGTCCCCTTTTTTGTTTTAATTGAGAGCTGATTTGAGGAGATAACCACCTGTCAGTGACAACGCAGGGAGGTCTAATCCCTCCAGGCCAAACTAGTGCAGATAGGCTTTAAAACAAAAAAAAAGTAGTGAAATGCACAACGGTAGAAGGACGAAAGCGTGTTGCGCTGTTCAGCTAAACGCGGATGATGACTATTGAGTTGAGTAGAAGGGCATTAGCATTAAAATGCATGTAACTTCAAAAATATGTGCCATATTTATTATTTATACGATACTACTCAAATTAGGTACAGTGTACATGGTTACCATCTATTATCTAGTTTTTAATAGTTGATCAGCAGGAGGGTGTTTCACAAAGACTAAGATCGACTTTATGTTGGACTTAACTATATAAGGCCATTCATGCCACAGGTTGCTCTCACCATTGATCTCTCAATTATGATCTTTAGATAATATTTTTTCCTTCAATAGTGAACTATCGAAAAAAGGTAAATTCTGTAGATCTGTAGATTCTGGAGACCAATGCCAGTAAATGGTGAGAGCAAACAGTGGCATGAACTGCCTGCCATAGTTAAGTTCAACTTAAAGCCGATCTTAGTCTTTGTGAAACACTCCCCAGGAAAGAAATCCCTCTCATGTTTACAAAATGGCATAATATGTGTGTAAAGAGCAATCAAAACCTTGGAAATGAGTTATCAGAAATTTGCTTTGTGGCACAACAAAATAACTATTACTAAACTGTGGCAAACTCATGACATCAGTCTTGAATGCTTGATATACTTTTGCGAACAGGACACAATAATAAACAACATGCTAATAATTAGAAATGTACTTGTTTATTCATTTGCTATGTAGAAACGTGTGCTGTTATCATGGGCAATAGTATAGTATTAATGACTGCTTTGAGAGAAATAGTTGTTTTATTACGCTCAAGGGAAGGTTAGAATTGTGCTATTCCCCGAGGCTTGCCGAGGGGAATAGCCCAATTGTAACCTTCCCGAGAGCGTATGAAAACAACTATTTCTCGAATATTAAAGCAGTCATTAATACTTTTATATGCCGAAAAAAAATAGACTAAAAAATAAAAAATAAAAAATAATTTACATTTTTGTCGAAGACGGGATTCGAACTCTTGCGTACAACAAGAGGTGTATCGAAAACCAACGCTTAGACCACTCGGCTATCGCGCGCCGTTAACATGCTTGGCAGTTTTCTCCAATATATACATTAAAATGGATTGAAAACGGCTCCGCGTGAGGGATGCTTCGCAAAAGCTCCATGAAACGGACCCTTCTTTTACTTTTGCAATGCATATTGGCACGAACTTAGATCAAGATCTATCGGCAGATGTTGTTTTTTTGTTTTTGAGAGTTAATTTTCGTCTTCATGTCAACAATGCAAGATAAAATTGTCGGTAAGATCGATCGAGATTCAATTGTATTGAAATTGCCGACCAATTTTTCGCACACGTATGGTATCCTCCATCGCTCAAACCATTTTTTAACATGTAAACCTATGGGGTAACCATGGAGACTGACCTATTTTTTTAATAACCATGGTTATTAAAAATATTGAAATGTTTTAAGCATGGTTAACGGGAATTTTACAGGAACAGTTGAAGTTTATGAATGCAATTCGACCAATCAGATGGCTGGATTTCTTAAGTGAGGTATATAATGCATGATGTTGCACTTGTGGAATTTCCAGGAACTTGATCTTTCTCTAAATTTTATACTACCGGTAGATTATTATAATATTTTTATTTAACACATATAAACTGTTTTATCTAATTCAATAAGATTGGCCGGCCCACATATATTAAGGGGGGTGTTTCACAAAGATCCTAAGTTGGGTGTTTCACTAAGATCTGAAGTTGAACTTATCTCTAAGTTGAACTTAACAATTATGGAAAGCTGTTAGCATCAATGAAAATATTTTGTAAAAGTTATTTTAAAAGGCATAAAATGTTGATTCAAATAGTTCATATTGTCTATTATCAAGGAGATTTCATGTTCTTGATGTGGAATTTATGAAAAGTCTAAAAAAAATACTTTTTGCTTTTGAATATTTTTTATTTTAAGGCTACAAATGGCTCTCCATAATATTTAAGTCCAACTTAGATTTAAGTTCCACTGATCTTTGTGAAACACCCCCTGATGTATGATATATTATGTTGCCAAAGAACAATAGTGCCAGGCTGGGACTCGACTGCGAACCATGTGATCCACAGTCTGACGATGCATCCACTATGCCACGACACCTCTACCAACATCAATCGGTGGGGATACGTACGGTGTGTTGTAGCTTGGCCAGTAGGAGTGCTCTTTCAAGAAATACGTCATGTCTTCTGCGTGTATCTTTCCACTTCAAACAAAACAAGAGTCAAAACAAGAGGAACGTGATGCATGTCAGAACCTACTTCAGAATTTTGGGTGAAACTGGAGGATAAAGGTCCATGGACAATGCCAAGATATTGATACCAGTGAATGCTAAACAACAGAATGCTAAAAGATGAGAATGAACAATATATTTACTCATTATTCCATTTTTTAAAATAGTAATCCATCCATCGGTTCTGTTGATAATGCGTTCACAAGCTATTTTTGCATACATGAGCCCATGACCTTTGACCTCATGACCCTAAAATGAATCAGTTCCTTGGCTCTGCAAGATAAAATTATACATGAGCAACGATTCCTCTCTTTTTCATGCTTCCTCGATCTATCTATCTCTCTCTCTCCTTTCTATTTCTCTATCTCTCTCCTTTCTACTTCTCTATCTCTCGTTGCTTAACCCTACTCCCTCTTACTCCCTCTTACTCCCCCTTCTCTCTCTCTCTCTCTCTCTCTCTCTCTCTCTCTCTCTCTCAATACCATTCAAACAAATGGAGAATTCACTGTTGATAAAGGCAATGCATTTTGCAACATTTCACTTCTGAGTTGGGCCCCACATTCAGGGTGTACCGCACATCTCATGATTACAAAAACATTACAAAGGCTTTCAATGATATCAAATTAAAGTATGATAACATAGTAAAGTCAAACCTGCTTTAGTGACCACCTGTCTACAAAGACCACCTGTCTACAACAAGCACATTTTTCGTTTCCCTTGAAAATGGTTTTTCATTGAATCATGTACTAAAGGAACCGGTCTACAAAGACCACCTGTCTACAAAGACCACTTTTTGTGTTTCCCTTGGGCGGTCGCTGTAGACAGGTTTGACTGTAACAATTAAGAGAGATATAAATGTTTAAACTTGAACTACTGTACTTTTTTGAGGGGTATATGTATTTGATGACTTACGGGATTTGTTCTAATACTACTAGGAGTCCATCTGATGGAGTCTGCCCCGGGGTGAACTTGTTGTAATCGACAATCATCCACTGGTTATTGTACCTTCAAAAATGAAATTAAAAAAAAATAAATTATTCTATATAAATGTTCATTAAAGAATGTGCTAATCCTATACAGGATACAGCGTGTTTTGCAGAGAGATATGATGTCAGCCCTAAATATGATGACTGCATTTTCATTGAACTTAATCTTCTGTGAAGGGTTCCTTTTTCTTCTTCTTCACATTGCAAACAAAGCGGATATAACACGCAGAGCAGAAGATGCTTGTTAGAAGCCCCTATCGGGTATTTACGAGCCCTCAAAAACTGAACAAAAATATTTATCTGTATCAGGAAGATGAGTTCATGAAAGTATGTGCATATTAATTTCAGATCAAAAGACGGTACATTTAAATCTCTCTAACCAAACTTCCTATGTTTCTGAAGGGCACAAACCAAAGAAAGCAGAATGGATTATAGGATATTAGTCATGCATGCAACACCCTCCAAACGAGACAATACGCCAATAAGTGATTCTATATACAGCTTTACTACCAGTACAAGTTTACAAGGTTTTTGCAGCTTATAGGCTCGAACAGATATGACCGGGCAAAACCACTGCGTTTTTTTTTAATGATGACTTAAAGTGTAATACGGATCACCTTTCTGCATCTGCTAACACAGAGCTCAGTAAAAAAATGTGGAAGTCCTTTGTTGTGCAAAATTGCCATTTATTTCACATATACAATTTTTAAAAACATAAATATAATTATAATTATTTTTATTTGTTATGTTTTTTTTTTTTTTTTTTTTTTTTTTGGGGGGGGGGGGGGGGGGGGGGGGTAGTTTACTGGTCAATTTCTAGAGTGAGGAAATTCTCTGAATTTTAACTCACGTGCCACTGTTGTATTCAGCAAAGATGTCTGCCCAGTGCGAAGCGTTCTTTGCCAGTCGGTTGGCGATGATGTTCCTAGCCCATTCTAAGATCTGACCCGTAGGCTGTACATACTTCCACAGCTCGTTGTTGGAATTTCCAATGGTCGTCTCTATGGTTACCTTGAAAACAATGACAAGTAAAGCTGCTTGATAAAACAGATAAAGTCAAACCTGCTTTAGTGACCACCTGTCTATAAAGACCACGTTTACCGTTTCCTTTGAAAATGGTTTGTCAATGAAACACTTACTAAAGGTACTTTGTACATGAAGACCATTGTCTCCCTTGAGCTCAATGTCTTGATAGACAGTTTCACTGCGCTTCAATCTCAGAAGGAGAATGAAAATGTATGGCCATGGGTCCAAAAGCTACACATGCTGTTAAACTTTGCACACTGCACATACACACAATGCTACATGTACAATGCGCCAAAGGTGCTGAGCAACTAGAATACCAATTAGGTTTGTCCCCAAAGCTTAGAAACGTTCTGGCATTTCTTGTCATATTACCATTAGTTTGAAATTGAGGTCAAATTAACAGAAATCGGCTGCCAGATCAAGATTTGCATTCAATCATTACATGTGCATAGCTTACAGACCCCTTTCTCGTTTAGAAAACAAATTTCAGGACTTGCTCTGATGACAAGTGTTGGTCACTCGGTCATAAATTCTTCTTCAAGGCAACTCTAGATCTTGATCTTGACTTGAAGTGAGAAGCTGTCATAAATTTGACTTAATGCTGGTTTTTGAGACTAGACTGAGATTGCTACAATAGTACTTAGTAAATAGTAGTACAAAAGTAGTCCAACTTCATGTATCCCGGTCAGTAACAGTGTATATTATCGACTTGCATTGTACATTGTACATTTAAATGCAACATCATATCATTCTACATCTAGCATGGGTAGACATATTCCTCCAGCCATGATCTCATCATGGAAACATCCTGTCATCATGGTCTTCTTGATTATTGCTAGCACAGGCTTACTGATAATTAAGCCATTCTTTCAGCAGGATATTCATCATGAGCATGAATTTCGCTCATTGGATACCTCTCTCTGCCCTCAAGCAGACGTGCACCTTGTATGCAAATCAAGCACATTGCTACTTCTTCAAGCATTTCAGAATCAAAGAAATTCAACCAGTGTGCTGAATCTTCGCTCTGCTAGTCATCTCGCTATTCTACTACTCTTAAGCGGCCAAGTTGAGCGAAACCCGGGGCCAATAGAGACATTCCCATGCGCTGTTTGTAATGCGAATGTCACGGACAACGACCAAGCCCTTCTCTGTGATAACTGCAACATGTGGTGCCATATTACATGCAATGGTATTTCTGAGCAATCATATGAAGTCCTCGCCAGACTCAACAGGTTCTCGTGGGTCTGCTGCAGATGTCATAGCATAAATGCAGAAACAGCAGCTTCCCTCAGCAGCAATGTCAGCCTCTCCACAAGCAATCAGTTTGAGTCATTAAGCATCAGCGACACAACCGATGATGCTCAATATGATTGTCAGACGTCAACACCAACTTCAGCGTCATCTGGTCATGCATCGAGGCTACCACCACGCCCTCACTTCTCACCATCTAAAAACCGCAGGAAGATCCTGAAGGGCGTCATTATCAATTGCAATGGTCTTAAAAGTTCTGCGAAGTACTCTCAATTCCAAGCATTGATTAGTCATCACAAGCCAGATGTGATCCTTGGTTGCGAATCTAAGCTTGACGAGACAACCCCTACTTACAGTGTATTTCCTAGAAATTACACAGTATTCCGGAAAGATCGAAACGACCGTGGGGGTGGTGTCTTTGTAGCAGTGCATGAGTCTCTCATCTTAACCAACTGTCCGGAGTTCGACTCAAATAGTGAAATCATCTGGTGTAACTTACAATTCACCAACGCAAAGCCACTATTTATAGCAAGCTTTTACCGTCCCCCAAGTAACGGAAAGCAAGACCTTGAGGAACTCCAACTCTCCATCGCTAAGGTTATGTCTAAACACAGAAGAAGTCACCCTAACATCATCATTGGAGGAGATTTCAATCTTCCAGACATTGACTGGGAATCCTGCTAACTGACCAATCCAAACCGTGCAAGCATCCATCAACTTTTGCTTGACACCTTATTGGAATTCTCACTGACACAACTGGTAAGGGATGTAACCCGTCCTGCGTCTAGTAACATCCTGGATCTTCTTTTGACGTCCAACCCTGGCCTCATTACAGATGTATCCATTCATCCTGGCATATCAGACCACAACATTGTGTCCTTCGTCTTTTCAGGAAATCCGAAAACAGCCCGTGCCCCTCCCAGGAAGATCTACCAATTCCACCGAGCAGACCACCAGATCATTAAAGAAACTGTTGAAAAGTTTTCAATCGATTTCTTCCTTTCATCTCCAGAGCTCCAAACTGTAGATGAGAATTGGAACAGGATATCTGTGTTCCTCAAGAAGTGTATGGAGGATCTGATACCATCAAAGATGAGCAAATCCCGGCGACACCTTCCGTGGATCACCACCGACCTCAAACGAAAAATGAGGAAGCGTGATAGGCTCTTTAAGAAAGCCCGTAGAAACCCCAGTACGTCAAAATGGAAGGCTTTCAGACAGCACCGCAACGTGGTAGCGAAACTAGTTCACCAAGCACACCACGATTACGTGAACAACATCATAGGGAACAGTCTGCAAGGGAATCCCAAGACCTTCTGGTCCTACGTCAAGCAGTGTCGGACTGAGAATATGGAAATCCCATCGCTTAGATCTGACAAAGGCATCCACACGACCAACAAAGACAAAGCAGAGTGTCTCAACTCCTTCTTCCACTCGGTATTCACCAACCAACAGGTTTGTCATGCTCGTATGGAAGGTTCCTCACACTTTCCTGATATCGGCCATCTACACATTCATCGTCCTGGTGTGGCAAAGCAGCTGTCAAATCTCAACCCATCCGAAGCTTGTGGGCCAGATGAACTTCCACCTAAACTCCTCAAGCTTGTAGCTGACGAGATTGCTCCTGCCTTAGGATTCCTTTTTCAGCAGAGCTACAACTCTGGCACTGTTCCAGCTGAATGGCAGCATGCATTGGTAACACCCATCCACAAGTCCGGTGATAAGTGTGATCCAGGAAATTACAGACCTATTTCCTTGACCTGCATCTGCAGCAAGCTAATGGAACAACATAGTGCTCAGCCATATCTCGAAACATGTAGCTGCCAACAATATCCTGGTAGATGACCAACATGGATTTCGGCAGAAACTCTCCACCACCACACAACTCATCTCTGCTACCCAGGATTGGGCACACACCTTACAATGCAGAGGCCAAACAGATGTCATCTTCCTTGACTTCCAGAAAGCTTTCGACCGAGTACCTCATCGCCACTTGCAGACCAAGCTCGAGCATTATGGCATACGAGGAGACACATTACATTGGACTATGTCGCTACTTTCCAACAGGCAGCAAGCAGTTGTTGTCAAGGGCTCCCGATCATCTTGGATGCCTGTTACCTCTGGGGTACCTCAAGGTTCAGTGATCGGACCAGCCCTCTTTTTGCTGTACATCAACGACATCACTGCAAATATCCAGTCCAAAATGCGCCTTTTTGCTGACGATAGTGTGATCTACAGAGAAATTCACACTAAGAATGACACCTCCATCCTTCAGCAAGACCTTCAAACCTTGTCTGACTGGTCAGCGAAATGGTTCATGGCTTTCAATGTCAAGAAGTGCGCCTCCCTTACCATCACGAGGAAAAGAACACCAATACAGCATGACTACCAGATTTCCAACGAGATAATACCCAGGATAGACAAGTACAAGTATCTCGGGGTAACTGTAACCAAGGACCTTCGATGGAATACACACTGCCAACTCCTACTGAACAAGGCCAACAAAACCCTTGGGTTGCTGCGGAGAACCCTGTCACCATGCACCAAGGATGTGAAGTCAAGAGCATACACAGCCCTGGTTCGACCGCAGCTAGAGTATGGCGCTGAAGCCTGAAACCCTCACACTTCTGGTGCTGCAGAAGGTCTGGAAAGGGTACAGAAAACAGCTGCTCGTTTTGTCTTCCGCGACTACCGAAGATCCACGTCAGCTACAGGGCTTGTTTCCCAGCTGGGATGGGATAAACTGCACACACGTCGTCTTCTAGCACAAAGCACCATGCTCTTTAAAATACACCACCAGCTAGTCAACATTTGTCTTCCTCACCTCATAACCAAAGCTACATACATCAGCAGAAGAGACCACACACTCAAGCTCTCTGTTCCTGAGGCAACAATCGACTCCTACAAGTACTCATTTTACCCCGCACCATTCGCATCTGGAATCAACTACCATTCACTGCAGTTACTGCCCCATCAGTTGCTGCTTTCCAGATGACCGCCCTCCCTGTCATCAGAGGGTTGGAACCTCCTGTAGGTTCCAGAATGCTGTAAACCATATAGCAGCATGATTATTTTTACTTGCACGTCACTATTTTACTGTATAAAGCAATTGTACACCCTTTTGTTGTATGCACCTTCACCTGTTGTCACAACACATCCCATCCCAGTATAGCTTGGAAAAGCTGCTTCAGGGATTACCACATCAAGTATCAAGTAGAAAATGTAGAAACAACATAAACAAAAGAGAGTGTCCTCAAACATTGAATTACGAAAACATTAAGTGTGTAGCTTATGCCCCCCCCCCAATATAAAGTCCATCTCATGGGTATTGCTAGTTCAGGGGGAAAAAATGCAAAAAAGAGCTAGCCCCCAAAATTATGCATAGAGTTCAATGCAAAACAAATTAAAGAGTGTTATTTTCATGCAAGCAAGCTTGAAAAGTAGCCCCAGAAATTTTAAAATATTTTTTCCCTGTGCCAGTTGACAGTGGGATTATTGAAGTCATTCAACACTTTCTTTGGTGGGCTGAGGCATCCAAAGGATGATATTACTGCATTTAATTCCATCTGACTAGAAAAATACATGTACAGTGTATCTTTTAAAATACTGAATAATATTAGTTGGTCTTATAGCAGGAGCAAGGGCTAAAGACAACATTTCAAATCCTGTAGACAAGGCAAGAGGATCTCTCAATTGCCTTATTGGCTAAAAATAGACTCAATTTAAAGGTAATACAAAGTTTTAGTATGAGGTCATGAATTTGGTTCAAATGAACATATTGAACGCATATGCGGTCCTACAATATTCAATGATCATTGTCGCGGTTGAAATAGAGTCTAAAGTTATGAAATTGTAAATAATTAACTCTTTATGTTGTATAGCTCCCTCTCAAGGTCAAGATATAAATTAAGCTATAAAACAATGTTTCTTGACTAATAACTACCGATTAGTTGTTCCCGTTCGGAAATTATATATCACAGCTACACATTCTGAGATTTTCATGGTCGCAGCTACAATTGTACGGCCGTAGGCGCTATTTGAAATTTATCAAAATTTACCGGGAGCACCGGTAAATTTTTATATTCAATTTTTCTCGAAAGTAAAAGTAGTTTAGGGGCTAAATTTGCTAGTGCTTATATTACATCCACAGGGGCATCCAAATATATCAAAATTGTAAAGAATCATTATCCACCCAATTTTCAAAATTTCCCAAAACTTTGTATTACCTTTAAGAAATGTATTAATTATGTATGTTAAATTTCAGATGAAATTAGAAATTTGACAACCGTATGAAAATGCAATGTAGTGTGTGCCAGTTTTTTTGTCTACCCCAATTGAGACTCTATCTGTACAACTAAATGTAATCAGCTGACATTTCAGTCGCAATAGCTCAGATTTCAAGTGAGAGTTTACATTTCTACAGCCCCACACATAGCATTTCATGCATCATAAACTCACCAAGCCAGAGGTGGTGATGTAGAAATCATCTCCTGAGAGAAGCATACCAGGAGCTGATGAGAAGGATGCAGCTTGACCAGGGACAACTTCATCTGAAAAGAAGCAAACCACATCAATTTCAATTTTAATTTATTCCAACAAAACATTACAAATCAATTATAAACATTTACCATACAACAAATATAGAAATACATATTGCAAACAGAGGGGTCCACTAAAAAGCAATGCTTGTACCAGTGTGAACACCTTAAATGATACTTAGGAATAATGAGTGATTAAATTAGCAAGTCCGTAACTACAAAAGGAACTAAAATATAGGGAAACAAGGGGGATGCCAACAGAGACGAGAACGGGACAAGACAGTACTTTACATGACAAAGATAGAAGAACACGGTCATAATACAAAGAGTAGACAATGCCAAAAAAGAAGTGAGAGATCAGAGGTACAGAAAATAATACAAAATGATGAGCTGCAAATATGTGGGGTTAAGAAGAAGATGAGGAAAGAGAAATACGCATTAGAAAGGAGATAAGCATGAGCAATACTCTTCCATATGCTTCAGTGAACATTGTGGGCACTTTACATTGGTCATTAATTTGCAGTGGTTCTGTAAATTACCGCTTACTTGGTAGCATACACTACACAGAGAAGGATCTAGGATTACGGCACCCGGGGCAAACACTGAAATTGTGCCCCCCAAAGTAACCAAGTGGTAGATATCTCTGTAGCTTTTCTTTTCTTTTTTCATCTTATGTTTAACCCCCCAAAATGCAATTTCTTAGGAATTTTACCTGATGGAAAATTTGCAACAGAGCACAGCAATCAATTGGTATAAGTTTGGATTTTTATTGACAATTGGTTTCCTAAATCGCTTCTACCTCAATGATCAATCAGGGTGCAAAATTAATAAAACCTCTGAAGAAATATTGTCGGGGAATAACAGGAAGGTTCTACATTTACTATTTTTTTTCAATGTTGAACATTTGCAGGCCAATTTGTACACTCCATTTTATGGTGTTGGGGGGGGGGGGGGGGGGGGGGGAGTGTGCAACATTTATAACAACAGCAAAGGAACACAAATTACATTTATTTAAATTTGAACCAATTAAAAAAAAATTTTGTGTATACCTGTACAAAAGATAGTCACAATATTAATGAGGGCCCTGTTCCATATAAAACTTGTTATCACTAACAAGATACAACAATAAGATAATTGAAAATATGGCATTTGATTCAATTCAAATCAAATCATTGATTTCCAAATTCCAACATCAATTTAATAAAACAATGCATAAAAAAAACCCAGTCAATGGGCAATAAAAACATTATCAAACTATGACATTTCAATCAAACGATCAAGAAGATAAAAAAACAAAATAAGTATAGCATTCAATGAGAAACAAGGTGAAGAAAGAGACAAAGTAAGCTATATAATACATAATTTAGTGTTAACAGACTACATAAAAAACATAAGTGGATAATTGGAAAATGGTGAACACAATGAAAGCCAAGTTTATGGCTTGTTAGGGTGTGTTCACCTAGTTTATGATTGGCCGAGAGCAAATTGTCAGGGATATTTAGAATTTGTAAATGATAACAAGTTTCATGAAACAGGTTCCCGGTTTGGCAATCATTTGATATAAAAGTTAGTGCGACCAGGGCTGTCTAGTTACCCGACGTTTCTGTGAGATGAAACGCAAAGTCGTACTTCTTGATGATCCTCAGCATGCCCTGGTATCCGTTCCACGTGTCATGTGATACAAAGAGGTCCGTGTTGCCAGGCAACAGCTTAATGAGCGCAGAGCAGTGGCCATCTCCAAGTAACCTTTCCTTCTTGGACTTGCCGAGGGCACTCTCTAGGTCCTCCATGTCTCCCCCAGTTTGAAAAAGACTGAACAATTTTTTGTTTAAAGAGAAAATATACCAACTATCAAGCCCCAATATTTATAATAATAACCCTGGGAAATTTCTGAAATATATTGTAAATCGTACGACAATCTATTAAAGGTAAAGACCAGTATTGGAAACGCCCCTATTTCAAAAAATGAAATGGAAGCTCTTATTACCAATCATGTAAAAGAATATGTTTTGACTAATACATGATGATAAAAAATTTGCCGGAAAACCGCCTACTAATTCATATATTTGGTAAATTTGTTTCTCTCATGGTCTGTGAGAGATATAGGGTAGTCCCATATACATCTTTCTGTGTATAGTGCTTGTAACTTTACGAAGAATGGGCCAAATTTCTTATCATTTTGATGATTCCAGAACCTTGCAGATGCTAGATGCTAGATGATCAACCTTTTCTGATCGATTCCACAACGTTTCTTTCACAATGCAATATCGCATGACCATAACTGGTATTTACATGTACCTTTAAACTTCTTATCCATTTTGTTTTTTCCTTTTCTCAATTTCTCTTTCTCTTGTGAAACCAAAAAAATAAATTGATAGGTAGACAAGTAACTTACCCATGATCTATCAACAAAATCTGTATTTAATGGATGAATAACCCTATTATATGAATACGTCTCAGAAATTCTTTACTTTAATCTATATGTTGATATTTTCGCAAGGGTATAACCAACATGCAAAAATGAGCCTGCTACATGTACATGCATGTGCAAACATTTATTGTTAATACAAGTAGGCTTGCAAAAATGCCTGTGTTCAGGACTGTCATCCTAAAAAAATGTCCTTGAGCTAGGCATTTTATTTACTTTGCACCTCTCCACCCAAGTGTATAAATTAGAACCCGGGAGGATGCAAGAGTCAATGTCGTCCTGGAATGCTCCCCAGGGAGTGGAGAAAGTGTCTACATTGTGTGCTGGCAAGCCCAAATACAATGGCTGGGGTAATATCATGTCTGTAAAGGGCCTTGAGACATTGTAGATGTATTAGGCTACATATAAATCCAGAAAATTAGATGATATCTGCTGCACAGACTTTTGGTGAATACAGTATCTACAAATAGTCTGGTACAGGGGCCTGTTTCATTAAACTTGTTATCTATAACACATGCTAAATTTCTATGACAAATTTGCTCTCAGCCAATCAGATGCCATGATTTCAGTAGCTTATAACAGTAGCTTGTAACTTGTTATTGATATCAATTTTTATGAAACAGGGCCCAGATATCAAAAGGGAGCTTACAGGAATCCAAACGGGTCCAGGTCTATCTGAGGATGGTCTGGACTTTCTACATAGCCGTCATGTAGTCCAGATATCTGTATCAAAAGCAGATTCAGCTGTGGTGGCAGAGAAAAATAGAACTATCATTCATCATGCATCGATCAATTGCTCAATTAAACACATGTGCTGCAGAAGCGGGCAATATGAGAGAACATTATCCATCGTCTCACCTCTGGGAGCTCGTGCGTAACACAGGTATTAGTCTTGCAATTCATTGAGTAATAGGTCTTATTAATCAATTACCGTATTTGCCGGCGATAAGGCCGCAGCGCCATATAGGCCGCACCCCCGATTTTGACTTTAAAAAAAAAAAAAAAAAAAATTGTCGAAGACGGGATTTGATCTCTTGCGTACAAATGTTGATGTGACTAAAATCACCGCCTAAGACCGCTCGGAAAAAAAAAAATATAATAAATAAATATTTTTGTCGAGGTCAGGATTCGATCTCTTGCGTTCAAATGTTGAAGTGACTAAAATCAGCGCCTTAAAAAGGTCGGCCATGCCGCACTGATGCTAGCATATGGAGTTTTCTGTGATGTATACATTGCGCCTCTCTCTTGTGTATTGAAATGGATTCAAAATAGCGACTTCGCGGCAGCTTCGTTAAACGGGCCCTTCTTTTACTTTTGTAATGCATTGGCACAAACTTAGATCAAGATCTATCGGCAGACGTTGTTTTTGGAAGTTTATTTTCGTCTTCATGTCAACAATGCAAGATAAAATTGTAGGTAAGATGTGTGGAAATGTATAGTTATTGTACCGTTCGTAGATCTAGTCCCATATGTGCAAATTCGTGCTGGTTTTGACTTTATTAATTTTTTTTTTTTACTCTTTCGCCGCATAGGCCGCACACCGACTTTTTGATATTTTCTCTTCCAAAAATACTGCCTTTACGCCGGCAAATACGGTATAAGTCCTATAGGTATTCAATTTTATTGATATTTGTAAATAATTCTCCAGATTTTTTAACAAGGTATTTTATCAGTATAATTATATCGATGATTGTTGTTTGACAACATTTTTATCAATTGTATATATTGCCATTTACTTTAAATTTTAATGTTCATTTGCCACTTGTATATATATATATATATATATATATATATGTAATGCTATGTACAATTCAGCTAATATGGCTGCAAACCATATATGTTGCATGTAATAAATCATTTTTTAATTGAAGTGAATTGAATTGATATATACTTAACTTAACAGAAAATGGATAATTTAAGATAATAATCACCTGCTAATACTTAATGTTATGTGAGACTATAGTTCTCTTGATAACCAGTATCTGGTTTAAATTTTAGAATACTGGCCTCTGTCTTTGAGCATGGAGCACGTGTCGGTTTGATCATCAAAAAAAAAAAAAAAAGGGACGAGAACACGAGGTAGAACTCCATACCAAGCCCTGAATCCAATGACCGGGGTAATAGTATATTTGTAAAGCGCTTAGAGACATTTGTATTAAGCGCAATATAAAAATTAAATATTATTATTATTATTATTATTATTATTATTATTATACCTGATGGAAATAGGGATCCTGCGGCTTGAGTTTGATCTGTTGTTGCATCCACTCCAGGTTCGTGGTCAGGAACGTCTTGAGCTTCTGGCAGTACTCCGTCTCGTCCTCACAGAAGGTATTGATGGTGTTCATCCAGTTCATGAAGATGAATGGAGCCGTAGCATGACCCTCGGCCAAGCCCGCACCGTAGGCTTGGATGGAGTCAGCGTATGACCCGTTGGTAGTCACTGTCAGATGAGACCATCTTGATACATGCAGAAAATTAAATGGAGAATTTAATCATTAAAGGGATCCGGTAACTTTGTCTTAGATCCTTTAAGAAAAATCCTTGATTTAGCTCATGCTGCAATGATAATTATAAACCTTTAGGTCAATCCGGAACCCCGTGACTTTTACAAGCCGATCACCTGTCTGATTATCAAGATATTTATTATTTTAAATTTCAAAATTGAATTTTGCGTTTGCCAAACAGTTTTCATAAAACTAACAGTCTATTGGGGAAAACTAGTATGGTAAAACTGGTCACTCAAAGGATTTAACTTTTTTGAGACACTTCTTGATCATTGTAAAGCGCAATTTTGTTAGGGCTTCAATATAACACTGTATCACAGACACTGATAACACGTAGGGCCGTGCATCTCAGATTTAACATTGTTAAACGATCCCTTTAAATAGAATGAGAACGACTAGTAAAGTCAAGGATCAGAACATTTTATTTGACCCAATCAACAAGACTACCGGTACTCCTTACACTTGAACGTATGTATGCTTAGCAAACAGTTTGTAAAAAACATCTTTGTTTACGAGGTGAGTCAATAGGCATTTGATATACCACTACTGAACTTCAAAATTGCCTTTTCACTAGTGAGACAGATATGGTGTACCTACAGGGAACATACAGGTTGACATCCTACAAATATTCTAAGTAATAATAATTAGATAAATTTATATAGCGCAGCTACTCGGAAACAGAGTGAAATGAAATAGAAGGTAAAATTACTTGAAAAACATTAACAAATATACATCAATATAATATAATTTTGTTGATGACCATGCACTGATTATTGTTTTATACTATAAATGTAAATCCTTCCTCTCACCCTGTCTGGTTAACAGACTCTGTAAAGTTTGCCCAGGCCACTGCATTGTCCACCCTGCCTTTCACAATGTCAAAGGTCTCCTGGGCAGGGTCATAGGTCACGGATGCAATCACATTGCTGGAGAAGTTTGTGTAGTCCCTCTCCTTGATCTTGGCGTGTCCTAGCTGGATAAGCACTAGGCCTGCCATCAAGCAAAGGTACAGGGCTTTAGATGACTTCATATCTCCTCTGGCTCTGTCCTGAAAATGAGAACAAGACAAATAGCTTGCTGGTCAAAGAAGGTCTCGAGAAATTCTTGTAATGACGGTCAATATCATTTTGTTCTCAGAGAATGAAATGAAACTTAAAAATATACAGAATATTCAGGACACACTTTTGCCATATAGTTTTGATCTAGAAAATGCTGATGATCACTCAAGAATACATGCGTATGCACATGTGCATGGAATGTTGTATCATTGGAATTATGAATTTTTACTTTACAGTGAATTCCAGCAAGTTTTTGTTAGGTCGTTTGTTTGCATTTTGCAACTCATCAATCAGTAAGGCAAAAAAAAAAAAAAAAAAAAATGTTTAGCGTCCCTGCCTGCTTCCGTTTTTGAGGCCGCCTGTTTTTTTTTTACATGAAAAAAACATGAAATACATACTGCTAAAATCATCTTTTTCTGCCATTTTGAAATAAAAAGCTTTGGCAATCTTGTAATATAACCCAGCCGGAGGTCTCGGAAAATGTGGCGAGCAGCCATTTTGAAGAAAAAATAAAGTGCCTTCTTTCCTTTTTTTCAAAAAGGCAGGACGCTACACATGTTTAAAATTTTTATTTCGCCTAATCATAGTAATATTAAGCCAATTTCTCTAAAAATGCAATTCCATGACCAGAACTTGAGACGTTACCAAATCAAGAAGAACTCTGTGTGCAATATACAAATCAAATGTACATGTACATCCTAATCTGGCTGGTTAGATCATCTTACATGACATTTATATATAAGAGGCAATTTCTCCCTTATTTTTGTAAATAATTCATGCACATCATGCACAAATACCTCTGCAACTGAAAAGTAGATTTTAAGTGGCATTGGTACAGTCCCACACATTGACAGGACTAGAAGCCACCCAAGTTGAACCCACTCCTACAATGCATGAAGTCCAACTGTAAACGGAATGGACCTCATACCAGCTGACAGGTGTAAATCAAACAATCAATTATTTGAACTTTTATACCGGTAATTCGGTAAAATACAACATAATGTGGGTTATGTTATGCATATTGGTACTAAAATGGAAAGAAATTTCGGAAACTATACTTTAGAACTCTTTTTTTGGCGCTTGTTCAGAAAATGTCCAAATAAAGATCTGAGTTAAAAGTTGTTATGTTTATTACCCGTTTCGTGTCAAGTTTCTTGTATTTTTGGAGTATTTTTCGGAAAAACAATGATATTAGTAATACTAGTAATATACACTTTTTCTCAGGTTTCACGGCGAACCGCTGCACAATACAAGTGCATACCGATGGTGGGTTGCCCCTGTGTGAAGTTATCTACCGTAATGTCTCGAATCCTTTTTTTCTCCACCTTTTTGAGAGACTACTGCTTAGCTCCTCCTGATATCGATAATATTAAAAAAGCGTGCGTTGCGCACACTCTACCACTACCACTACCAGTGACATCAAATTAAATAGCAGTTGCACAATAGCCGACGGGTGGCTGTCTATCTTGCATGCGCAGATAGCCTGCCGCTGACCTGTTGTAACAACCGATCTCGTTCGACAGCAATGATAAATAACATGAGATTTAATCAGATGTTGAGGTCTTGCTTCATTTTGAAAAAAACGTCACAAAATTAGAAAATGGTGGATCATGCATAGCTAATTGGCCCAATCGGTAAAAGTAGGTTCAAATATCTGGAAAACCAAGGAAATTTTCATTAACGAAACTTGTAAGTTCCATACGTTTCTTCCCCTTTTTCAAAGTTCAAGTTCTTGTTCTCTCGAACTGTGTTGACTTGAATCTACTAGTACTCCTGCTGGGCCTGGGTTTGGTTTTCATATTCATGATCATCTTTCATTCTTTCTTTGTTTTGTTTTTAACATTTTTTACTAAGTTTGAGTTTACCTTTGTTGACTTGACTAGAGGCCTGCTTTGTTAGTGACTGATGCCTGTCCACACAGTCACAGATCGTCAAAACAATGATGGTCAGCCTGCAAAGATTGGATGAGGTTGTTTTTTATACAAATTTATAAGCAACAACACACACAAGCGCATCTGATGCTAGTACTAACAGGATCGAGTCAGCGGATCGATCACGTGACAGGGTGGAAATCACCTGACTGATGACGAATCTAGGGTTCCAAAACTACTGCGCATGCGCTCTATGGGTGATCCACTTTTTGTACAGGATACAGAATTGCCAAAAAAAGAGATATCTTCCAACTTTTCCTTCCTTTCTTTCTTTCTCTCCTTTTTTCAATACTGTTTCATTCTTTCTTTCTTTCTATCCTTCTCAATTTGTTTTTTTGTTAGTTAGTTTTTTGTTTCTTCCTTTCTAGTTCTTCTTTCCTTTTCGATGCAGTGATGCATCGCTGGGTAGTCTAGTTGTTCTCTGAGAGTATTTTGTAAATAGTTTTATATATTCCATTTGTTGTTGTATTCATGAATCAGTTATCTTTGTCACATCATATGAGGGGGCCTTAACTTAACAAGCTGTGCTCCTCGTCTTTCTCTATTCTACATTGTTCTGTTATGATTATACTCTATTATATTTTGTCACAAAGTGTTTTCTGGAAGACAAATAAACTTGATACTTGATACTTGATTTAATGTATGCGAGAAAAAACTAATTGCAAGCATTTACAGAGTCACTTCATGACGGCTTTATATTTCGAATCGTCTTCAACTCCCTTTTTTATACTAGGCAAATGATGCCCTCCCCTATACTCTTTTCAAAACATATATTTATACTGCATTTTTTATTATTTCAAAACATATATTTATATTGCATTTTTTATTATTTCAACACATATATTAATATTGCATTTTGTATTTTTGGAAGTTAATATTGAGACCCAGGAACTAACCTCTACCTTCTCAACGACATCTCGTCGCTGTCGCTCAACTTGTCCACTAAGCTGGAGTGTTTCACAAAACAAGCGCGTAGCCAGGATTTCATTTTAGGGGGGCGGGCGGTAGTGAGCACGCGAAGCGTGCGAATCACTTAAAGAGCGCGCGTAGCGCGCTCCCTAGGGGGGGGGGGGGGTGGGTGCAGGGAGGGGGGAGTTTTTACGTCTGAAAGAAGACGATTCGTTGTACCTTTCTCGACTCATAATCCTTGTCTGAATTCAGTCCGCCCCTCCTGCGCATAGCGCGGAAGCTTTGACGTATTATTAGACAAAGAAGACGATTCGTTGTACCTTTCTCGACCCTTAATTCCTACGTGTATTCAGTCCCCCTCACGCGCGAAGCGCGGAAGTTTTGACGTTTCATTAATTTATTAGAGAAAGAAGACGATTCGATGTACCGTTCTCGACTCTTAATCCTTATCTGAATTCAGTAATTTCCTCCCCTCCCGCGCAAAGCGCGGAATTTTAAAGTTTCATTAAAAGAAGACAAAGAAGACGATTCGTTGTACTTTTCCCGACCCTTAATCCTTATCTGTATTCAGTCTTCCTCTTTCGAAGCGCGGAAGCTTTCATGTTTCATTAAATTATTAGAGAAAGAAGACGATTCTTTGTTCCGTTCTCGACTCTTAATACTTAATTTGAACTCAATTCCCCCCGTTCCGCGCGAAGCGCGGAAGCTTTGACGTTTCATTAAATTATCGACTCCTTTCCCTTTTTCTTCCTACGTCCTCTTACTTTTTTTCTTCTCTTTCTCTCTTTTTTTTTTTTTTGGCCGGCGTTTTTTTTTTTTTTTTTTTTTGGGGGGGGGGGGGGGGGCGACCGCCCCCACCGCCCCCCCTGGCTACGCGCCTGTCACAAAACTGTCTTTTCCAAGACGAGCGTGACATCCAAACCTGTCATATCTTTTTAGAACGCCATCTCCAGGCAATTTTACTTTAGTCTACGGGCAGCGAAAATAATGAAAATTGATTTTAAAATTTATATTTCTTGATCTTGAAGCTCTCATTTTACCAGGCGCGTACGCAGGGGGGGGGGGGGGGTTAGGGGGTTAACCCCCCCCCCTGTAGTATTTTTATGTGTTTTTTTTTTGGGGGGGGGGGGGAAAAACCCTTTGTTATTTATTTTTATTTGTTATTAAAAAAAAAAAAAAAAAGTTGACTCCCCCCCCCCCCAACGGAGCAAAACGTCAAATTTGCAAATTCCGAGTCCAAAAAAAATAACAAAAATAAGTGTCCTCTTACCACCCCCTCCCCCCCGCTTATTCAGCGGCTGGCTGAATGTTACCCCCCCCCCCCTTGAAAAAATCCTGCGTACGCGCCTGCATTTTGCTAATCAGTTCATATTTGTGTTAGTATAAAAGCATTATACAAGTATACAAGCTGTTCTCATAAGGTTCTAATACCTTAACGAGTAAATAAGAAAAATAATATTTCTCCATACCTCGACGGTCTACGTACCATTATGATAGAAAATCGCCCAAAATTGAACAGTCTGTAATTACAGACTCGTGAGAATGACGACATTTTTTCGTGTAGGTTTTTTTAATGGATAGCTTCCATTTTTAAGCATAAGAAAATGTATGTTAAAAATACGAGTCATCCCCCCACACATACGCCAAATTGTGTAGGTTGGCAGAGAGAGAGAGGGAGGGATCGAGAGAGAGAGAGAGAGAGAGAGAGAGAGAGGGAGAGAGGGAGAGGGGGAGAAAGGGAAAAAAGAAGAGGGACAGGAAAATATAAAAGAGAATGTAGGCAGGAGCGGATCCAGGGGGGGGGGGGGGCGAGCGGGTCTTGGCCCCCAGTCTTGTCCCCCAAAAGAAATGGCAACATAACAAGTATTAAAAAAAAAAAAAAATTGTGACCAGAAATTTACCCTTTTTTTGCCCCCCCCCCCCCCCCCCCCCCCCACTGAGCAAAATATCAACCGGCGCGAATTTCAAATTTCCGGGGGCAAGAAAAGGAAAAGAAAAATAAGTAGTCACTAACCCCCCCCCCCCCCCCACTGAGTGAAATATCGTCCGGCACGATTTTCAAATTTCAGCACTCTAAATTACAAATTGATTTCAAATTTGGGCCCCACTAAAAAATCCTGGATCCGCACCTGAATGTAGAGAAGGAAAAGAAGAAAAGACAGAAAGAGAGATAAAAAGTGATTTTCCTTTTGTGTATTTAGCTACCCCCCTTCCACTGTCTGTCTCTCTGTCTGTCTCTGTCTCTGTCTCTGTCTCTCTCTCTATGTTTACGATATCAGTGCTTTCAAATTATTGAGATATGAGATTTGATAACAAATTAATGTCATTGCAACTACCTGAATAAAACGATACAAAGACCGTGGGACGTTTTTCAAAGTAGAGTATTAACGATCGGGTACAGTGTAGCGAGCGAAGCGAGTGGAGCATAAATTAGCGTAGAGTCCAGGGGCTTTACCCCAGCGGGGTTAAAGGGACGAAGGCCCAGAAGCTCAGGTGTCCTTCTTTTTCTCTTTAACATACTTTTTCAAAAAAGTGAGGGGCCCCCGAGCCCCGCTGTTCTGCAGGCCCTGACATGAAGGCTTCTAAATAAACATAATTTTGTTTGGCCTGACTGTAAATTTGGGAATTTGTAATTGTCCAAAAAAAGCATAAAAAAGTATAATTTAGTAAAAAGTGAGGAAAAATCCCGGAAAATTATGTCATTTCAGCAACATTTGTAAAACACTGGTATCGAATTTAGATTAAGACATTCGTGCAGTCTCCACCTTCAAAAAAATAAAACATATCCACTCGGTCAGTTTTCAGTTTGTCTGCTTTTATCGACGATAAGACTTTAACCTGTATTTGGTTCTATCGGATTTGTGAGATAAGAATGTACATTTAAGTGCCAGGTAAAATATTTTTTGGGAAAAAAAGTTATGAATAAAGGCCTGCATTATAAAAAGGGTTTGAGGGTTACCCTTCATTTCAAGTTCACAAAATGACTGACCCCTTTAGAAATATGAGAACAAAACAATCACACCAGCGAAATGCTATTGGTTACTGGTTGCCTAACAAAATAATAGTCGCGTGCGAAGAGTAAGACATGTCGTGATTTTAAATGCATGTGAATGTTTACAATGACTGCCTTGCATGGGGTTTCCCCAGGTTTTCCACAAAGATATTTTGCTTCACAATAATAATTCCAGCACAATATGGTTCTTTTTAGTGAAAAAAAGTTGTATGTGTTCACATTTTATGTTTTAATTCTTCTGCTTCCCTCAATCAGAAATGTAAATACAAGATCAAGGTCTTATTTATGAAAGAAGGATCGCTCTTTCCCACGCTTCTTGATTTTAGTTCGAGCTAGTTTGTCAAAATAAGTATATTTCGTCACTACCCTCACTTTAACTGCAGTATAATCCACTGTCGATTTCGTGTTGTTTGAATACATAATTGTTAGTACATCGTGTCGCGTTCTAGTTTGTTTCTCCCTATTATGATAGATGACGAAAGTTTTCATCTCATTAAATAATGGTTTGCTCATGACGATACGTAAAACATCACTTCTTTAATTTGATATATAGTTCAGGCTAAGAAGAAAGATTAATTTGGCAGTCACCATGGCGTAGTGTGGTTCTAGCCATAAGGGGGGGGGGGGGGGGTGTGCTGGTTTCACAGAGAAAGGGCGGGGAAACCGGTCAAGGATAGATGGACGAAATATGAGAGAACGAGTATATCGAGTTTTTAAAGTGCCAGGTCAGTAAAATATCCTTTTGGAAAATAAGTTATGAAAAAAGGCCTGTATTATAAAAAGGGTTTGAGGGTTACCCTCTATTTAAAGTTACCAGTGAAATGCTATTGGTTACTGGTTCCCTAACAAAATAATAGTCGCGTGCAAAGAGTAAGGCATGTCGTGATTTTAAATGCATGTGAATGTTTACAATGACTGCCTTGCATGGGGTCCCCCCGGTTTTCCGCAAATTATATTTTGCTTCACAATATTAATGCCAGCACAATATGGTTCTTTTTAGTGAACAAAGTTTTATGTGTTCACATTTTATGTTTTAACTCATCTGCTTCCCTCAACCAGAAATGTAAACACAAGATCAAGGTCTTATTTAATAAGGATCGCTCTTTCCCACGCTTCTTGATTTTAGTTCAAGCTTGTTCGTCAAAATAAGTCATTACCCTCAATTTAACTGCAA